TTTTTTTTTTTTTAGCTTGTTGAGTTTATATTTTCAGTGGTTTGCAAAGAGCTTTCATATGAATATTTATTGAAAAGCAATTATCATAAGGTGTTAGTTTAAATTATTGTTCTAGATAAAGTTTTTCTAAATGGATAATGGGCTCTATGCACAGCTAGCGTTTTATAGCCAACGATAAACTTCCGGTGAAAGCTTAATGCGAGTATTTTCAATTTCACAAGGTTGTTTTTACAGCAATGTAATTACAATACATTCAGTTAAATAGACTTAAGCATTTATTTAGTTGTTCAAGCGTTAAACGAGATGAAAGACCGTTGTAACCACTAGCACCGTCAGTAGCAACAGGCTAGCATAGAAATTCCATTGAAAATACAGGAAAATAAAAAATACAGAAAATATAGGAAGGCTGTCATTGTTCAAAAATGAACCAATGTGAATATAAAAGCAAATTCAGATCGATAAAGCAGGTTAGGCGGAATAGCGCTATTTACTGATGTTTTGTTGTTAAACTAAATATAAATCAACATTATCGATGCCCTTATGAAACTTAAAATAATCACATCAATCTTTTACCGGGAGATTTCAGTGGCTGATCAACTGTCTGTGCCTATAAGTCATTCATAACAGAACACAATCTAACATAAGCTTAGCCTGACTAAAATAGTTTTAAAACAGAACATTACCTGTTTAACAGAAATACTTCAGCCATGCTGTCGTCCTTTCTCCAGCATGCTACACCCACCCCACCCCTAACCCCAACTTCCAGTGACATCACTTGTAGAAGTGCAAGAACGGAGGAGCTGGAGCTCCATGTATATATATATTTTAATTTTTTTCTTTCATTCATTTTTTTTCTTTATGTCCATAATGTTAGCCTCCCTAAAGTAATATTTTTTCTACTTGTTGTCCAATCAATGACTTGCCTGATAAAATTACAGTAACTTTCCTAGTTAACCAAAAAATCTACTGTATGTACAGTAAGCCTTTAAATTGATTAGTATTTGCATTTTCTAACTCAATGTGTTTACATTTGGCATTGACTTTATTTTGTTAATGGCTTCCAAATGGCTATTTCTTAAAATATGATGCTCATACAGTGATTATTTAAAGACATTTCCCCTTAAGAACATGTTGTCATGCTTTACTCATCTCCTCATGTTATATCAAATCTGTATTCTTATGTAAAAAAGGTTTGGGGATTGACTTCCATTGTGGAAGACTGAAAAATTATTAACATCTTTTCTTGTATCAAATATTATGTATCCTATCTACAGTATATACTATTTATACTGTACTTACTAAAAGTATTGAAAGAAAATTCTGCATGTTTTTAAATACGATTAGATTGGGTTAGAGGTGTTTAATTAAAACTGTAAATATTTATTTATATTACAAATGTTAAGTAATTTGAGGACTGTGTGGGTCAAAAAATCTCTTTATCATTTAATATAATATGAAAGGTAATTGTAGAAAGATATAATATTTAAGGCATAATATTTGAAAATATAATAAAATAATGAGCATATTTCTAAACATAATTACTCTGTTTTCAGAATAAACAAACAGAAAGCAATTTTTACTTTGAGCTGTGCTGTATTTTTAATGTGCAGTTATTCAGGCGAGTAGATGAGATCAAGAAAGCTTGGATAAGTTTGTCAGTCACTTCACAGCTTCTTTCCTCTAAGGATGTAAACAGAAAGGATGAGCAGCTGTCAAATGCACAACATCCAGGAGCTTTAGTTCTATGTAAAGAGAGTATTTTAGTAGCTTATAAAATAAAAACATTTACATATGTAGGTTAAATAAGGTGCACAAGTAAAGCTTGTTTGCTGCTCCTGATTTTTCTTACACTGTACATAGCTTAGCTATAGGGGTTTTAATGTGTCATTTGATAGTTTAGGCACACAAATGGGCACATTGGAGTTTCTGAATTAAGTATAGTGAACAAATGTTTGGTGTCAGTGGGATTTAAAAATTTGTTTTATTTTTATTTTGCAAAAATGATTTAAAATAATAAGAAAAGGTGACATCAAATCAGTACCTTAGAGAAAGAATCGTGTGTGTGCGTGTGCATGAATATTGTGCATCTGGAAAGTCTTCATAGTGCTTCACTTTTTCTACATTTTTTATGTTACAGCCTTATTCCAATAATGGATTAAATTAATTTATTTCCTCAAAATTCTACACACAATAGCCCATAATGACAATGTGGAAAAATCTTTTTTGAAATTGTCAAAATTTATCAAATTTATCAAAAATAAAAACCTGAAAAATCACATGTACCACAGTATTCACAGCCTTTGCTCAATACTTTGTTGATGCACCTTTGGCAGCAATAACAGCCTCAAATCTTTTAGAATATAATGCCACAAACTTGGCACACCTGTCTTTAGGATTTTTTGGCCATTCCTCCTTGCAGTAACTCTCAAGCTTTATCAGGTTGGATGGGAAGTGACAGTGTACAGCCATTTTCAGATCTCTCCAGAGATGTTCAATAGGTTTTAGGTCTGGGCTCTGGCTGGGCCACTCAAACACATTCCCCGAGTTGTTGTGAAGCCACTTCATTGAAATTTCGGCGGTGTGCTTTGGGTCATTGTCCTGCTGGAAGATGAACTGTCACCTCAGTCTGAGGTCAATAGCACTGTGAAGCAGGTTTTCATTTAGGATGTCTCTTTACATTGCTGCATTCATCTCTCCCTCTATCATGACTAGTTCTCCAGTTCCTGCTGCTGAAAAACATCCCCACAGCATGATGCTGCATGATGAGCAGTGCTTGTTTTTCTCCGAATGTAACGCGTGGCATTGATTCAAAAGAGTTCAATTTTAGTTTTATTAGACTAGAGAATTTTGTTTATTATATATATATATATATATATATATATATATATATATATATATATATATATATATATATATATATATATATATATATATATAAATTTGCAGCAATTTCAAAAAATATTTTTCACATTGTCATTATGGGGTACTGTGTGTAGAATTTTGGGGAAATAAATGAATTTAATCCATGATGGAATAAGGCTGCAACAAGTGAAGTGCTATCAATACTTTCCAGATGCACTGTATGCTTTTTTTAGTTCTGATTAATTTGTTTGACATTTTTAAATAATTATTATTTCTGAAACCATTTAATAATATTAAACTATCTAGATATTTTTTTTTCAATATTATAAATTTAATATACTGATTTTAGGTATACTTGAAGTAAAAAAAAAATCCAAAAACACTCAAAATATGTTCCAAAAAACATTTGTATTTATTTAATTTTTTTTTTAATTTCTAAAAATGTTAAATAATATGGTGGCCATAGGTCATATATTCCCAGATTTTTTTTAATAAATAAAAAATACATACATTTAAATAAATAAAACAATTATAATATTTTAAGAATATTTACAAATATTTGAGATTCATCAAAAATGAAAAATGTTAGAAAAATGTATTTGCATATTTATAAATGTTGTTAAGTTTGTTAACATTTTAAATCCAGTATTTTGCACTAATATCATTATTTTATGTTTGTTATCATGTTATTACAAAAGTTGCAGTTTTGCAACGTGTGTCTCAGAGTTACCTAGCAGTTGGTGAGAGTCTTAACAAATGAAAAGGTCAAAGAAAACACACATCCTTTACACAGAATCCCTCTTGTTTCATAATGTTCAGCATCGCCTTCCACTATCACAACCCAGATCCACAGCCTGCTAAATAGCAAGATGGAGAGATGAAGGGGAAAACGAGGATGGGAGGGAGTGTGTGTATGTATGTGTGTGTGAGAGAGCACAGCCATGAAAACTGATTGTTGCAGATGAGTAGATCTCTCTCTTTCTCTCCAGCTCTCATGCTCATTTTCCCCGACACAAACAGTGCTGTTCTAACAGTAGGAGGCTTTTACTTGACGCCGCCAGTAATGGACGAATAAAAACACATAACATGCTCATCGCATCGCTGCTGTTGACTTGAAGCATCAGGTGAGTGCATATCAGCTTTCTGCACTTGTATTTGTGGAAATGATGTTTTCCATCCATTACCAGTCACAATATGATTGAGCTCTCGACTGTATTTGCATTGGTTTATTCGTGGGTTGCTGATATACTAACAGCGATTAGGTTGAAAATGCACTCTTGTATTTGATGTTTTGACATGTAAATCTGTTACATTTTGTCACTTTGTGAGCCTAGCTTGAAGATCTACTGTATTTCAACCGTGAATTGTGCTATGCAAGAAAAATTGAATGATGGTAAAGGTTAAGACGAGGCAGAGATCATCTATTTTTCTTACCCTAGGGTAATGTTGAGAAGAGTTTGTTTTGTGATCTTGACATGGCAAGAAGTTTCATTCATAAATACAGATCATCTTTCAGAAGAGACGCATGCTTCAGGCACTTCCTGCACTTGTCACAGGAAGTAAAGGGATTTGACGGGATGTTGAATTGAGTTTGCTTTGAGTGTTGAGTTTTCTTTAAAGTTCAGTTGCATGAACTTTGTTTCAGATTCATCCTTTTTTTTTTTTGCTACTACTCTTCTATTATGAAAAGTTTATAATAGTTACAACAAAAAAATCTGGTTAGATCTGTGCAAATATTAAAGCAAAGATGATATCATATAAATCTGAATCATGTTTGTTGCGGAAAATAGTAGCTTTTGAATTTAGATACTAAAATGCAGGAGATGTGTGATATTTAAGTACTGTACTGGTTATCAGCATATATTAAATACTTTTTTGTACATGTATCAATAAATTTTTGGTATTTCACTTAGAAATTAAATGCAATTTCACTAAAGTTGCATTTAATATATTATAATTGTATTATAATTAATGTAAATAAAATTGAAATGTAATAATTTAACTAAAATGATTGATTATTTTGTATTGTTATTTTAAATATATATTTTCTCAAAATATATATTTTTATAGATATTATATAATAATATTAATAAAAAAGACATTTAAAACCATCCAGTAATCCACAGATATTACAGCTGTAAAATTAAGATTTTGTTCCTTTTAATTTGAAAATTGAAAATAAATAATATAAATATATAATGTGTGTAATTATTAGAGGGTTAATTATTTTTTTGATGTACAAGATCATTAAGAATTTTAGGGTAAATTTTTTATTTTTTTTATCGGTTGTTTTATTAATGAAAGAAAAATGCTTTTAAAGGACACATTAAATTCAAACGTTGAATATAAATTCTTTTGAGCTTTCCATGAAAATGTAGCTTGAAATAAAACATTTTACTAGATTAAATTTTTTTTTTTTTAAATCATACCAAAAAATACTTTAGAATGAGCTGGACCCAGTCAATTTTGAGCCATATACAAATCACTGCTTCACTTAAATCAATGTCTGTCTCTGACAACTGGTTTGACTACAGTATTGACTGACATGATGCTGCACATTTGATTATTTGTTGTCATGTGACAGTTGCTGTTCTTGTTATTCTGTGATGACCAGTGGATAGTATTTATGAAACTGATTTACACAGAAAAAATAGCTTGTTAGCATGAATAAGCATGTCCAGCATAATAATAATAATAATAATAATAATAATTCCTTACATTTATATAGCACTTTTCTAGCCACTCAAATCGCTTTACACATTTTTTGGGGGGGATCTCCTCATCCACCACCAGTGTGCAGTATCCACCTGGATGATGTTACGGCAGCCACATTACGTCACACCACACACCAATTTTGTAATGAAGCCAATTATGGTATGGGGATGGTTAAAAGGCCATGATAGACAGAAGCCAGTGGGCAGATTTGGCCGGGATGCCGGGGTTAAACCCCTACAAATTTTTTGAAGGACATCCTGGGATTTTAAATGACCACAGAGAGTCAGGACCTCGGTTTAACGTCTCATCCGAAATTTGTGCATTTGTTAGCACAGTGTTGTTAGCATTGTGTGTTTAGCAATAATAATTACATTGTCTGTTTAGCGTGTTCTAACACACCGCTAACATGTTTTCATCTTTTAACCTTGCTAGTCTTAAAACTATGCTATCATGTCTTAGCATGTTGCTAGCACAAAGTTAATCACAAGGTTTAAGGTAGTATGTTTCTAGCATGTTTTGTCATGTTAGCATCTGTTAACACTAGCATACTGGTAGTGCAGCATTATATTTACACTATGACATGTTTTAAGGTTAGCATGTTTCTGCTATATTTAACTTTTTGTTAGCTTTTTATTACTTTGTTAACATTAGCATATCAGTAGCAGAATATTATTAGCAGACTTCTATACATACATGGTAAGCATGTTTTACCTTTTTTGTTTAAATTAGCTTGTTGCTACAATGTTTAGTCTTATTTCAGCATGAATTAGACCGTCTTGACTTGTTGTGTGTGTGTGTATATATATATAAAAATATAAAAAAAGGGCCAAAACCCCTCTAAAACCAACCTGGTCAACCAGCTAAAACCAGCCAACCAGCCTAGGCTGGTTTAAGCTGGATTTTTCAGTAGGGTCACAAGGGGGTCTCTCCACACAACCACCAGTGTGCAGCATCCACCAGGATGATGTGACTGCAACCACAGGACAACAACACCAGTGCGCTCACCACACACCAGCTATTGGTGGAGTGAAGAGACAGTGAGCCAATTTGGTGGATGGGGATGATTAGGAGGCTATGATTGTAAGGGCCGATTGAGGGCTTTTGGCCAGGACACCGGGGTTTACACCCCTACACTTTACAAGAAGTGCCATGGGATTTTAATGACCACAGAGAGTCAGGACCTCGGTTTAACGTCTCATCCGAAAGACAGCGCCCACTGACAGTGTAGTGTCCCCTTATCTTTTACTGGGGCATTAGGACTCACACAGACCACAGGTTGAGCTCCTCCTGATGGCCTCTCTAACACCACTTTTAACAGCAACTTAGTTTTTCCATGTGGTCGCCCATCCAGGGACAGACCAGGCTCAGAAAACCAGTCATGGGCTGCAGGGTCATGAAACATGTTCTATGTTGCCAGTATGACTTTGCATGTAGCTGACACATTTTAACAATGTTTAACATGGCTTGTTTTAGCATTTTTAGCATGTTTCAGCTGTTTCTCAAATCAGAAAAATCATATTGCACTTTGTTCATAAACATATCACACACTGTCATAATGAACAATTTTCTTTGTCTCTCCACAGAGCCTGAGCTGGTGAATCTCATTGTAATGTAAACAGAGGCAGATAAACAGTGGCACAGCATGTCAAATGAAGAAAAGTGGGTCACTTTGAGTCCAAACGAATTCTCTCGTCTTCAGGACTATGCACAATGTAAGGCTTCTATACTTTAATCAATCTTTAGTTGGTTAATTTAGACCACAGTGGTCAAATATTTGTTTATCACTGCATTGTTAAGGGCTTCAGTCCAGATATACATTCTCTAAAGAGTATTTTTGTCTTTAGAGAGCATCTCCACCAACAAGATTGTCATAATGACAGGCGTCCAGTTCACTGGAATACAAATCAAACCATTTATTGCCAGTTTTGCATGTGTCACTTAAGGAAATGTCATTTCCTGGTTAAAGCTTAAGGTTAAGAATTCAATCTAATCCAATCGCCACCAGACTATGAGCGGAGAGAAAATTCTGACTGACAGTTATTAATTCCCCTAAATACATAATCCATCCATGATGAACGTTGATTCCTTTCAGTGCTAATGCATTGCTGGGAGTCAGCGTGACCGAAGTGTCATTTATAATCTCTTTTGAGAGAAAACGTTAGCAACAGCCTGTGTTTGCATTACCTTTACCACTGAGATAAAGAGATCAAACTATATTTGGACCGTTTTAGTCAGTTTGTCGTGCCAATAATAAAGCAGTCGCGCACAGATGCGTACAATATCTGTGGCATTTTAATTACCCCAAAACCTGCTTTCATACATAGAAAATCAACTGTCAACAAGAGGATCTTTCATTTCGCATGCAGAGGACAGAGATCATCTGCATTTAATTGAGCAATCTGAATAATTGATACCCCAAGAGGCTGCTGTTTCCTGTGCAGGACAGGGCTTCACTCACTCTGATTGGCTGGAGTGCTGTATGACAATATGGCTCATTAGTGAAAAGGAAGGAGGAACATGAAGCTCTTTCTGTAGCTGAACGTTAGACTGCTTGATGGAGGTGATTTGATCTGCGCAAGATGCACTCTGGTTGAGTCTGTGGTGAAAACTTTGTTACAAAGTTTGGAAGTTAGATGTTAATTGACTATTTATTTTGTAAAATTTGTCTTTTAAGTGATTTATCACTGTTTAAAATAAAGTTTCTTCATTGGTATTGATGGTTCCAAGAAGAAAAATGTTATTTAGAATAGATTATCTAATTATTATATACTTATCATCTACTTCATAATAAGAAACAAGTGGTTCTTTTAAGAAAAGAAAGAAAGAAAGAAAGAAAGAAAATCCAAAAGTGCACACACACACACGCTACACTATAAAATATCAGTTAATTATCAGTGTCAGTATTTTGTGATTAACAAGTTTTTTTACGTTTATTTGCGGTTGCGAATTGCATTATGGGATGTTGACCTCTGCTCTGTAGATTTTTAATTTTAAGTATTCATCTCTACAGTTTAACAACAGGACTTTTATTGACATTTTAGTGGTTTGAAATAATATAATGTATGATAAATAGTATAGAGTTCTGTAAGATAACAAAAAATGTACTGGCAGTTTATTACAAGGTTTTTGTACTGAATATGCAACACAAACCCAGACAATAAAGCACTTTAAACCATTTAAAATGTTAATAAAAGTCGCTTTTTTAACTTTTCACGGTTATAAGTTGTTAGAGAAAAGATCAATGTCTCAGAATGCAATTCAAAAAGCATAAATAAATGTGGAAAAATAAATACATAAATCACAAAATACCGAAAACTGCTAGTTTACAGATATTTTTACAGTGTGGAAATTTATTATTCAATGAACAAAATCTCAAATCCATAAAAATCTGAGAAAATTTTTTTTTTTGCAGGTTTAATTTTACTTTTATCTTTTTATTGTTATATATTTTCTTTGTATGAATGGCCCCTATTTAGCATTATAAAAGGTCATATTTTGGTTTCGGGGGTCTGATACAACACGTTGATATGCATGCAGGCACTTTCATTGTTTTATAATATGCAGTTATTTTTCCTGATTTCCCAATGACCCCCATATGATTTTGGTCAGCAAATTATTCGTTCCCAAACCCCTCTCTTGCATGATGCTAGTCTGCGCTGATTAGTCCGATGACCCAGTCTGTTGTGATTGATCGACTGCATTCAGCGCGAGACGGAGAGAATCGGCTAGCATGGTTATGAAGTAGTCAGAGCTCAGAGTATATGTGTGAGCCCAATACAAGAGTGCATTTACGTAATGCAGTTAAACAAACACATATGTTATTTTCTTAGCCATAACCTCACATAATAACAACCACACACATTCAGTATTAATCATCACAGTGGCAAAAGTTGAACTATTTTGAAAATTTACCGCACCACGCTTGTGTCGAAATAGTTGATAGTGGCCATACAGTAGCAACCAGTCCGCAGCTTGATGATGTACTGGACCAGGTCCACTACGTAATGGACAATTCCCTACACCTACCCTAAACCCAACCATCAGTAGCATGGGTGTTACCTTAGTGGGCAGTACAATGTTCACAATCAACCTGGTCCAGTACGTCATCGTGATTACAGACTGCAGCGAGGACATCTTGGATCCTTCCTATGATAATAAACGGCTGGCAAATCCCACATTTCAGCATAGGTTATTGTATCAATCATCAGAAAATGACAGGAACAAGCACAGCACTAGGTTGGCTATACTGTGGTATTGTTGTGGTGAACCCTTTGTTCCCCACAGCTGAATCTCCATCTCTCTCTTTGATAGTAATCTTCTCATCATGATCAATCCCTAGATGCTCCGCTAGTGTTTGAAGGGAAAGGCATGTTCATGTTTTACTGGATCTGGAATTACAAATTTGGCGATATCGCGTATTAAAGTCGATACGAACGGGCAAAAAAAACAAACTAAAAATGAATCATTCATTCAACTCTGAGTCGACTGTTTCCTTGAAGAATCAATAGTTTTAAACACGATGAGCTTTCAGATTTAAACCTCAGCTGGATGTTTTTATTCAATTAAGGCATTGCATTAAAAGTCATTTTTAAAAACTCATAATAGGGCTCTTTAACATTACTGTACAAACATTTTATTTGACCTCAGAAACACTGTACAAAGGCACAAATTTGCAACAATTTTCGAATAATTGCTCTTATTGATTTTTTATTTGTCGAAAAATCCTGAAAAAGATTTAGTATTAAAATTGGTTTAATAAAAACATTAGAATCACTTCTGAAGTAAATTTAGCTTGAAAGAAATAAGGCTTATTTTAAAATCTCATTATGTACACACATAAACACACACTTTTATTTATTTATATATAATTTTTTATTAAACTCACCAAATACCTTTTACTAATCATACTCTTACACATACACTTATCATTATGTAGCACTACATTGAGGTCTTCGACTCTTATTGAGATCATTGATGTTTTGAGCTGTAAATTATGTTCGGCTGACTATTATCTTTCCTTTGTTGTTGTTGCAGACACAACTAAAAAACTAAAAGATGTTCTCCAGGAGTTTCACGGAGGTGGGATTTTGGCCAAGTATAATCCTGAAGAGGTATTACAGCTCTCTATGCTCTTATGAAGCTCTTTATTGCAGCGTTCATGCTGAGCTAAGGTTGCCAAACTGAAGCCAATGTTATGATTATTATCCAATTTCAAGCGAATATTAAAGCTATTTAACTAGATAATGTTTCTTGTGGGACACAAATTCATTGTGGCTTCCATTATTGTTTGCCATCCATTTATTGAAGATGCCTCTTTTTATGCTGCATAGAAGCCGGAAATCCTCAATCAGGTGATTTATCATTGTCATTTTGTTTGTCATTTAGTTTGCATTATGAGGTCAGTATGAAGCATTAATGAAGAAACTCACTGTTTTAAGCAGGAGATTGAGGATTTTAAGCTCAGGATTTTAAGGAGGGTTTTAAGCTCTTTATGGAGACGTTCCTGGAGAATGAACTTGACGAGGAGTTCTGTGAGCATCTCTTTCTCAGTTTCTGCAACAAAGACCCAAAGTCGAGCCCCTCCATGACAGAAAAGCAGAAAATCATGGGTAATTTGCATTTTAGCTTTTAGACATTCTATACAACCTTATGCAAACCTATGTAAAAAAAATAACCCAGATTTAAGAGACTCTATTATTTCGTGTCTTTCTTGAATATTTGATTGTGATTGGTTAATTTGGCAAACTGTTTAAAGGGATAGTTCACCCAATGATTTAAAATAACCTCACCATTTATTCATACTCAAGTGGTTCTACACTTTTATGAATTTCTTTCTACTGTTGAACACAAAACTAGATGATCTAAAGAATAAAAAAAAAACTGCCCTTGACATCCATTAGAACATTATGGCAGCTTGTTCCTGCTGCTGAATAAAAAACATAAATTAAAAAAATGTGAAAAAAAAAATGTGGGGGAAAAAAAATAAATAAATAAATAAATAAATATATATATATATATATATATATATATGTATGTCAGAATTGCTAATTTTAAATTCAGAATTCTGAGTTACAGTATAAAGTCGCAATTTTCGAGGTAAAAGGCAGAATTCCGAGTTATAAAGTAAAAATTCAGAGTTTATAACTCGGAATTGCGACTTAATAACTTGAAATTGCGACCTTATAACTTGGAGTTCATTCATTCATTCATTTAATTAAATGCAGTTTTGGCTTAGTCCCTTTATTAATCTGGGGTCGCCACAGCAGGATTAACCACCAACTTATCCAGCATTTGTTTTACGCATCGGATGCCCTTTTAGCTGCAACCCATCACTGGGAAACACCCATACACACTCATTGACACACACATACACTACAGACAATTTAGCCTACCCAATTCATCTGTACCATATGTCTTTGGTCTGTGGGGAAATCTGGAGTACCCTGAGAAAACCCACCCCAACACGGTGAGACCTTCTTGCTGTGAGGCAAACGTGCTACCCACTGCGCCACCGTGCAGCCTTACTAAATTTTATTTTAAAAAAATGTATTCAGTGGTGGGAACGGGCTTCCTTAGAACACAAATAAAAGTCAATGGGTGTTTTTTCCAACATTTTTCTAAATATCTTCCTTTGTGTTTAACAGAAGAAAGAAACTCAAACAGGTTTGGAACAAGTGAAGAGTGTATATGTCAAAATTGTCATTTTGGGGTGAACTATCCCCTTAGGTTAGGAATTTTGTACAGTCAAAATAATAAGGGAGCATACAGAATTGTTAGCTTTATTACTGTTTATTACATATTGCTTGTCTTTCTAAAATACTTCATTCTGATTGGTTAATTTGGCCACCCAGCAGTTTAATATCTTTTGATAACCACCTGTTTAAAGGGATAGTTCACCTAATAATTTAAAATAACTTCGCCATTTACTCTCGCTCAAGTGGTTCTACACGTTTATACATTTCTTTCTTCAGTTGAACACAAAACAAGATGATCCAAAGAATTTTGAAAAAAGAAACAGATATTGGCACCCATAAGAACACAAATACTATGAAATTCAATGGGTGTATTTTTTCTCTCAACATTTTTCAAAACATCTTCTTTTGTGTTCAACAAGAAGAAATTCAAACATGTTTGGAACAATTGAAGTGTATATAAATTTCCACTTTGGGAGAACTATCCCCTTAAGTGAGGCATTTTGTACAAACAATAAAAATAAGAGAGCATACAGAATTGATATATTTATTACATTTCATATTCATGAATCAAGTGTAATTCATTAGAATATATATATATATATATATATATATAAAAAACATCATTTTGTACTTCAAATAACAGACTAATTAAACAGTAAACAATACAATTAAACAAGAGACGGTCTAATTTATGGAGGAGAGAAATAGATCTCACTTTTAAAACCCCTTAGTGGAACCAATAATGTTGTATAAATGTTATTTATCACTTTTATTCTATTGTAACTGCATAACTTGTTTTCTTCTTGAAAGCAATAGACCTGCAGGTTTGTTCTCTAGAAAACTCACCAGGGGGACAGTTTGTCTAAAAATCCAGACATTAAACTGCTCAGTTGTTATTCAGGGATGTCTAGCCTCAAACTGACCAAACAGTCGGAAATCTTGATGCTTTAAGCATACAGTTGAAGTCAGAATTGTTAGTCCTCAAGTTAAATTTTAATTCTTTTATATTTTTTGCTGTTTTGTGTTTAACGGAGCGAAGATGTTTTTCAACACGTTTCTAAAAATGACAGTTTTATCATTTCTTATAAGTCATTTATTTTATCTTTGCCATGATGACAAACATAACATTTTACTAGATATTTTTTCAAGATATCTTACAGCTGACAGTGTGATTTAAAGGCTTAATTAAGTTAGGCAAGTTAGGTTTATTGAGCAATCCATTGTATGATGATGGTTTATTCAGTAGACCAGTGGTTCTCAAACTGTGGTACGTGTACCACTAGTGGTACGCGGGCTTCCTTCTAGTGGTACACGGAGGAATGAAATATGTCATGTACATCCTACATATATTTCAAAATTTATTAAAAATGATGTATATATTATGCCATATATGACATATAGTCTATATTTCTGAGGTAATCTGCCACGTTTTTTTAAATGTGCAGACTTGTAGCTGCTTTACTGGGCCTACTACGTTACTATATTTCAATACTGCTCATTTTGGTGGTACTTGGAGAGACAATTTTTTTCTGAGGTGGTACTTGATGAAAAAAGTTTGAGAACCACTGCAGTAGACAATAAATATTGCTTAAGGCGGCTGATAATAATAACCTTAAGAATATTAGAGCATTTAACACCTGTTCTCGGGTCTTTACACTGGCTCCCAGTTACATTCAGAATACATTTTAAAGTATTACTATTTGTCTATAAATTATACATTACAGATATGCTCACTACAAACAAACCACTCAGACCATTAGGATCAAGTAAATTAGAAATTCCAAGAGTTCAGAAATTCCAAGAGTTCAGTCAAAGCAGGGGGAATCGGCCTTCAACTACTGCGTCCCCTTCTGCTGGAGTCATATCCAGAAATGATCGGATGTGCTCCAACATTAGGCACATTCAAATCAAGACTAAAAACACATCTGTTCAGTTGTGCCTTTACCGAATGAACACTGTGCTACGTCTGAAACATCCCATTATTGTGTCTTGCTTTTCTTTTTCATTCTTTTATAAACTGATTAACACATTTAAATCTGTTTTTTTTATTTTTATTTTCTTTTTTCTTTTATTCTTTTTTAAGTAAAATACATAGAATTACCATTGTGTATGAAATGTGCAATATAAATAAACTTACCTTGCCTTAAAATGGTTTTAAAAAATAAATAAAAAAACTGCTTTTGTTCTAGCCAAAATAAAACAATTAAGAAAAATAAACATTATAGGAAATACTGTGAAAATTTCAGTGCTCCATTAAATGTTATTTCAGAAATATCACACGAGGGCTAATAATTTTTCCATAAACTTTGCTTTCTGAGGTCTGAAACTGATAAAGGGCAGCTGCCCACCCCTGAAGGTGACGTCCCAGTCCAGACCTCTCAGTACGGTCCAGCTGAAGGACATGATCTGCTACCTCTCTCTCTTGGAGGGCGGACGACCAGAAGACAAGCTAGAATGTAAGAACTATACTATAGTTTACTGTTTAATTCATAGTAACTTAAACTAGTGCACTGTACTGTGGAGAAAGCACTTTATACGTTCTTAATTAATTTCTGTGATATCCATACATGAAGCTTTGCTGCCATCTACTGCCAGTGTTTCTTGAATTTCTTGGCTGCTGGTTCATAAACCTGTTGCTATGGACAGACTGACATGTTTACTGCTGAGCTGGAGATGCTAATAATAACTGATTCTGCCTCTGAGATGTTATTAAGACAGAAAGGCATGAACTGCTGCCATATAGGACGTTTTTGATGGGATAGTTTGGATTAAGGCGAGACACTACAGGGGAAAAAACTATTAATTTGTTAAAATGTTGCTGTCAGTTTTGATATTTTGGCTTTTTAAAGATGATATTCTGAAGAATGTTGAAAAAAACAGCCATTGACATTCATAGTACGAACTAAAAAGATACTATCAAAGGCATTTTTCTAAAATATCTTCCTTCGTGTGCAACAGAAGCTCAAATGAGAAACTCAAAAAAAAAAAAAAAGAAACTCAAACAAGTGAAGTGACTAAATGATCACATTAATGATTTCATTCTTATGTTTGGATTTCACTAAGGCTTTATGTACAATACAAAGAATAAGGGAGCATACATAATTCTTTACTACTATTTATTGCATTTTATTATTCATGTATTCTTATGTAAATCATTTAAATAATGTATAATCAATATTTTTTACTCCAAAAAGCAGTCTATATTTTGTACTCCGAATAACAATCTGATATTTTGGTCTTTTCTGTCTATTAGAAAGAAAACATCTGAAATAGTCTTTAGAGTTTCTCTCTCTCTCTTTTAGCACTTTATCAATTTGTGTCTTTAAATTTAAAGTACAATACATATTTTAAAGGCTGTTTTCTCAAAATTTGTTTTATATTTCTTCATGGACTAAGCCATAAATCTCTACTTAAACCAAACTTAATGTTTTATGTATCTGTATTTAAAAAATGTAGATTTTTTTTTCTTTTCATGTATAATCGTCATAATTATAACAATTAATGGTCACAATTTAATTTTGATGGCCTGTTTGTTGAATTTAAGTTACATTGTCTCTACATGCCAACTAAATCTCATTAGATTATAAGTAGACTATAGGTTAGGGTTAGTGTAAGTTGATGTACTTGCAAATTTTCTTAAGTTAAATGTCTTTTGAAGGAGCAGTATCAAGAGATATTAAGCAGACAGTCTACTAATGCTCAAATTGACCATCAAAATAAAATGCTACCCAGTTAATGAAACAAAATAAATGTGAAATGTTTTTCCCGACTGGTCCCTGCATTTTCTAAAGAAATAAAAATAAAAAAACTTTTAACAATAATATGTAAAAATAGAAAAATTCTTCTCTCTTATGCAACTGACACTTTATTTACACTCCATCTTACAAGGACGATAACCAACTCCTTTGAACAACATTAAACCTTTAATACCTTGTTTGCACATTATCCTACACAACATTGTTTTGTCTCACACTGTAAAACAAACCAGTTAGTTTTTGTTTGTTTTTTTTTTCCGGCAGATGTGTGGTGCGTAAAATTGTACAGAAATTTCCTTAAATTTTAACTTCCGATAAATGTATTGTCTGTTATTTTATGGTAAATTTCTGTAATTTAACAGCTGTTATTATACGATAAATTTCTGTAATTTACCATCTGTTATTTTATGGTAAAATTCTGTAATTTGATGGCTGTTATTTTAAGGTAATCGTCTAATTTAATGGCTGTTGTTTTATGGAAAATTTCTGTAATTTAATGTCTGTTATTTTACGGTAAATGTCTGTAATTTAACGTCTGGTATTTTATGGTAAATGTCTGTAATTTAACGTCTGTTATTTTACGGTAAATGTCTGTAATTTAATGTCTGTTATTTTAAAGTAAATTTCTCAAATTTAACGACTGTAATTTTATGGTAAATGTCTATAATTTAATGTCTGTTATTTTTTGGTAACCATCTGTAATTTAATGTCTATTATTTTACGGTAAATTTGTGTAATTCAATGGCTGTTATTTTGCGGTAAATGTCTGTAATTTAATGTCTGTCTTTTTACGGTGACAGTCTCTAAATTAACGTCTGTTATTTTACGGTAAACTTATGTAAATTTACGTCTGTTATTTTTTGATACATTTCTCTAATTTACCATCCATTATTTTACGATAAAATTCAGCAATTTAACTGCCTTATTTTACACTTTTTTTTCCAGATTTTTTTTAAATAACAGATTTTTTTTTACAGTGCATGTAAAAAATACTTGTTTAGCCTGTTTTATGTGTATAATTAAGTATCCGATAGTATATGTAGTTATGCATAGGTCAATAAAGCACAACTTGAATTAATACCATGTTTTTGTGCTAGAAATGCAAATTAATGCATATTTATTAAAATAATGTTTCACATGCACATACGATTTAACATAACATAAAAAAAAAACTTGTTAATAAAAAAAGTCAAGTTCGTATTGTAATTAATCAGTCTGAAGAAGTACGGTGATAAATGTTAGTAGATTTTGTTTATGGTTTTCTCTTTATTCACCTGTAGTTTCTTGCCTTCGATTGTGCTAACCTTGACTGAATGGTCCTCTTGCGAGCTTGTGCTGCTATTGGCTGAGCTGCTGGTTTCCATGGCAACACTCACTTTATTATGCCTCATAGAAACGCTGAGATGGCACTCTTTATTGTGAGATTTGTTTCATAGTTATCCTTTTATTTCTGAAGAATGCAGAAATTCCATTTGAGGCAGTGCTCTTATCAAAGAATTTTAGGGTGCATAATTTATCTTTTTATTTAAATTGCAATTTGTTCTCTCTTTCTTTCTGTAACAGTCATGTTTCGCCTGTATGACACAGATGGGAATGGGTTTTTGGACAGTAAGGTGAGTTTTTAACAGCAGTTAAATGAATAGGAAACACCATCTACTGGTTTAAATTTGCATTGTTTGCATTATTTAAATAAAGGAAGCTCAATTAAATTTATACTATGTAGAACTTTCTGAAGTTCAAACAAAACAACCATTATTTTATACCAACCATGTTATTATACCAATTATATGCAGACTGCGAATTACAGGGAGGGTTAAGGGGGATTGACCCCACTAAAAAAGGCTTGATCACCCCTGAAAATATCATGGATGTTGGTCTTGGTCCAGTCCTCTAAGTAGTAAGAAATAGTTTGCTCTGATCTGCATCTTAATTACTACTATTACTAAATAAATAATAGATAATATAAATATACAATTGACCACCCAGTGATTCACCATTGTGAGTGCTTCAATTAATTTAAGCTGATAGACACAATGTTAAACAGACACTTTTCTTGAAAAATAGCTGTTTGTTTCTACATATAGCCTAAAAGTAAAGTGAATTTTGATGCGCTGTTTCTATAGTTTGACCCACAGCAACCTCTGAAATGGCTTATCACAGGATATTGTTGTTCAGAACAAACTACTCACAATACACTGAAAAATTAAAAATGTTGCATTAATAAAATAGATGTCAGTTAATTTGATTCACTGAAGCATGTTTTACACAAAATAAGATTACCAAAAAAGTTATCGTCAATGTATAATTCGCACCCTGATTATATAAAGTATAGTGCTTGGAATTGCTACTGCTGTCATACTGTATGGAGTATGGTAAACTACATGACAAAATTAGCAGTTTACCGTATTTTGTGATTTATGTTTTTCCCCCCATTTTTTTATGTTTTTGAATTGCATTATGAGACCTTGATCTTTCGTTTAACAACTTTTAACCTAAAAAGTTAGAAAAGGTGACATTAATTAACATTTTTAATAGTTTAAAGTAATATAGATTGTCTGGGTTGGTGTTGTATAATATGGTACAAATCATGTAATATAATTTCTGTTATTTTACAGATTTATTTCTCTAAATATCATTTATTATACATTATATTATTTCAAATGACTAAAATGTCAGTAAAAGTCACTTTGTTAAACTGTAGAGTTACATTTTTAACATCAAAAGATCAACATTCCACATTGCAATTCACAACCGTAAATAATCTGAAAACACTTAGCAATCACAAAAAGCGGACACTGTTAATTGACAGAATTGTTTCAATATTATGTCCGAATTTCATATACATAAACAGCAGGCAAAGGGGCAGAAGGTATACTCGGATGATGATGATTCTGAAGTGTACGGTAAATTTGATAGACACTCCAGTATCCTCCAAGGCTAAATGAGAGGATTTGTAAATAGAAGATACGTGAAATAACAGACTTAAATGTCATAGATGTGCATTGTTGATGTGGTATTGTATGTCTCAATTGACACTGAAATGTGTTGAAGAAAAGTGTATGATTGTATACTTTGTTATAAAAAGTATTAGTTACCCACAAAAAGATTCTATGATAAATATGCTTAAGTACGATAACTGTTGCTGTTTAGACCAATGGTGGCCAAAACTTTTTCTTATGAAGGGCAAAAAACAATATTTCCTCCTGTTAAACAGGAACTGGAGCACATTATCTCTCAAATGATGCATGTGGCAGAGTATCTGGAGTGGGACATCACAGAACTGAAGCCGGTAGGATAAACTTGAACTTGACACTCGTCAGATGTTTGCAGAATATGATATTTTCTGTTTATAAACACATGTTTTTCGGTGTAATTTATCCTCTGTACTGTTTTTGGTATGCAGATCTTGGAGGAGATGATGCAGGAGATTGACTATGATAATGATGGGATGGTTTCTCTGGAAGAGTGGCTCCAGGGCGGCCTGACCATCATTCCTCTGCTCGTTCTGCTGGGACTCGAAACTGTGATTAATGATGAAGTTTCTATATGTGTTTCTTCATCTGTTCTTTTCTCTGTCTGTCTAACAGTGCAATACGCTTAGAAAATATTAGTAATATATCAGTTTTCCATATTTTGGAATATTATGTTTTTTCATATTTCATATTTAATATATTATATTTACTATTTATTTACGTTCTTTTATTTGCATTTTGGGACCTTGATCTTTCTTGAAAACCTTGAAAAGTTTGAAAAAGTGACTTTTATTAACATTTTTACAGTTTAAAGTGATATATTGTCTGGTTTGGTGTTGTATATTATGGTACTAAATGACTTATTTATCATTATAATATTTTTCATGCATTTTATTATTTCAAGCTACTAAAATGTCAATAAAAGTCACTTTTTTTTAAACTGTAGAGTTGAATTTCAACATTTTTTATTTATAGAAGAGCCAGTATTAGTGGAGGGTACTGAAGTTTCCGTCCATTCTTGCTAACGGAATCATCAGTGCTAATAAATAGAGATGCTACTTTCAGTTTTCCCACTAGATGGAAACCTCTGCTTATTTTAAATACTTTGACATCAGCATTAGAGCTCTGCCGTCTGATATATCGACATGTCTTGTCATTTAAACGATTGAAGATGCAACATTTCACAAGAACACATTTCAAGACATGTTCCTGTTTATTCAGCTATTGCATTATTTCAGCAGGATTCCATTCTGCTATACCCTTTATGTGAATGTTGTTTGTGATGTAGTTTATCACAGTTGTAGTTGTGTTATTATCATCAAGCTGTCCTCTTCTTTTTATTGTTGTTTGTCATTATCACTCTCTGTGTTGCAGAATGTAAAGGACGACGGGCAGCACGTGTGGAGACTGAAGCACTTCAGTAAACCTGCCTACTGTAACCTGTGTCTGAATATGCTGATCGGATTGGGAAAACAAGGCCTCTGCTGCTCCTGTGAGTTTAGAACATGTTGTGCATTAACCAGTAGCTGTAGACTGCTTTGTTGTTTATTCTTCTAGCTTTTAGCTATGGTAAAAGGTTCACATGGACACCAGAATTATATAGTCAGAATTATGAGCCCCCCCTGTTTATTTTTTTTCCCCCCAATTTCTGTTTAACGGAGAGATTTTTCAACACATTTCTGAAAATAATAGTTTTAATAACTCATTTCTAATAACTGATTTATTTTATCTTTGCCATGATGAAAGCACATAATGTTTGACTAGATATTTTTCAAGACACTTCTCTAGAGCTTAAAAAAAAAAAATCAAAGGGGGGCTAATAATTCAAATTCAAAAAGTCAAAATAAAACAAATAAGACTTTCTCCAGAAGAAAAAAAAAATCCACAATCTGTTCAACATTATTTGAGAAAAATAAAAAAGAAAGTAAAAAAAATATTATGTATCTATGTATATATATATGTATGTGTATATGATAATAAATGATTTATAAAAAAAGGCCTATAGAAAATCATCATACCAATTAATGTTAACCAATTACAGTAGATACATTATTTAAATATTAAAATCTAATCTAGGGCGAGGCAGTGGCGCAGTAGGGAGTGCTGTCGCCTCACAGCAAAAAGGAAGCTGGGTCACTGGTTCGAACCACGGCTCAGTTGGCGTTTCTGTGTGGAGTTTGCATGTTCTCCCTGCCTTCGCATGGGTTTCCTCCGGGTGCTCCGGTTTTCCCCACAGTCCAAAGACATGCGGTACAGGTGAACTGGGTAGGCTAAATTGTCCGTAGTGTATCAGTGTGTGTGTGAATGTGTGTGTGGATGTTTCCCAGAGATGGGTTGCGGCTGGAAGGGCATCTGCTGCGTAAAAACTTGCTGGATAAGTTGGCGGTTCATTCCGCTGTGGCGACCCCGGATTAATAAAGGGACTAAGCCGACAAGAAAATGAATGAATGAATGAATATCATTAAGTTTACATAATCAAAATTTAATATACATAAAATATGTTCATAGCAAGTTATTGAAATTGCGTAACAATTAAAATGTCATTAAGATTCAAAAAATAATTACATCATAAAAGCTTTACTTGATTGCTTGCAAATTTGAGATATATAGCTAATAATTATTTTATATTTCAATATTTTAATAATCTTTTTATAATTAACAATTAAATAAAATATAATTTTTGATGATTATAAAAGTAAAACATGTACAATATATGACAATTTATTGACTATTTATGAAAGAATCATAAACATTAAAATGTAACTCATCCCAAAAGTAATTATATTAACTTTAATATACATTAACAACAACAGTATAATATATTAAACATAGAAATATTGACATTATTGACAACCTATAATTACATTTTATACATATTTATTTGAATAATTTTATGAAAGTAATTTAAATAAATTGATTAATAATCACTAATTAAACACTAATAATAATTATACTATATGCACTCACCGGCCACTTTATTAGGTACACCTGTCCAACTGCTTTCTAATGCAAATTTCTAATCAGCAACTCAATGCATTAATTTAGGCATGTACACATGGTCAAGACGATCTGCTGCAGTTCAAACCGAGCATCAGAATGGGGAAGAAAGGTGATTTAGGTGATTTTAAATGTGGCATGGTTGTTGGTGCCAGACAGGCTGGTCTGATGAGTCTCAATTTCTGCTGCGACATTCGAATGTTAGGGTTAGAAGTTGGTATTGGTGTTGTAATGGTGTGGGGGGATAATTTCTTGGCACACTTTGGGCCCATTAGTACCAATTAAGCATTGTGTTAATGCCACAGCCTACATGAACATTGTTGCTGACCATCTCCATCCCTTTATGACCACAGTGTACCCATATTTTGATGGCTACTTCCAGCAGGATAACATGTCATGTCTTAAAGCATGAATCATTTCAGACTGGTTTCTTGAACATGACAATAAGTTCACTGTACTTAAACGCCCTCCACAGTCACCAGATCTCAATCCAATAGAGCACCTTTGGGATATGATGGAACGGGAGATTTCCATCATAGATGAGCAGCTGACAAATCAATCAATCATATCAATATGGACCAAAATCTCTGAGGAATGTTCCAGTACCCCTCTATGCCGCGAAAGATTAAGGCAGTTCTGAAGGCAAAAGGTGGTACTAGTAAGGTGTACCTAATAAAGTGGCCGGTAGGTGTAAGTCACATAGGTCTTACTTTAGATAATAAGGTTTCATTAGTCAAAGTTAATTTATGTGTTTACTAATGATAAATAATATAAAAAATACTTGTACAGCATTTATGAATCTTAGGTCAACATTTAGTAATGCTTTAATAAAATCCAAATTCATGCCTGTTAACCTTAGAACACTGCAAATTAACATGAACTAACAGTGAGCCACCTTATAACTTTTTAATGTTAACAAAAATGAATAAACACTGTAACAAATGTATTGCTCATTGTTTAGTCATTTTAGTAAATACAACAACTGACAAATACAACAACCTTATTGTAAGTGTTGCCGAAATATACAAATTGTAAAACTAGAAACCACTAACAAACACTCAAACATTTCTTTGCTCAACTCTTTTTATGAATTCCTCATTGTCTGTTTTCTAGTCTGCAAGTACACGGTCCATGAGAGATGTGTGTCTCGAGCCCCCCCGTCCTGCATCAAAACATACGTCAAATCCAAGAAAAACACAGAGGTGCGTCCAATTGTAGTGTTTAAAAAGCAGCACGCTTGGATCACAGATGCTTCACGGGGCTTTCGACCAAGGGCTTCTTTTGCAGCTAATGAAATTACAACCAAATTCTCTCTCTAAGCATTGCTAATTGCATGATTAACCTGGTTTAAACAGAGACCTGAATGAGTTTAAATCAAAGCTCATACATGCTCGATTGATGTGTGTGTGTGTGGTTGTTTATGTGTGCATTGATTAGCATTTCTTGCATACTAATTTAAAAAAAAGCCTTTCCTGAATAGATTATGCATCATTTCTGGGTGGAAGGAAACTGTCCAAGCAAATGCGATAAATGTCACAAGACGATCAAGTGTTACCAGGGACTTACAGGCCTTCATTGTGTCTGGTGCCAGATTACTGTGAGTTTGCCACTTTGTTTTCTTTGTTTTAGAAATATTACTTTGTTTCTGCACTGTGAAATAAATGCACGGTTTCTCACAATCGACTTGTATTGGGACAACATAAAGGAATTAAGTTAACTTATTTGTTTTTACAAATTTAGGTTGATTAAAAATAAAACATTTACAGTAAGTTATCTCACCCAACAAGCTCAGGAATTGTGTTTTTTCAGCTTATTTATTTATTTCATAAGGAGTTTGATCAAAGAGCAAACATCATTTTTTGAGTGTACACTATAAAACACACTGGGTTCAACACAATCCCTTCATGTCATCCCAACGCAAATCGACTTCCCATCGAAGCCAACTTAATGGCGTTTACAATTTTAAGTGGATTGAACATAAAACAATTAAGCTGTTTAAAAAAACTCAATAATTGTGTTCTTTTAGCTCACTTTTAATAAGTAGTTTGATCAAACAGCAAATGTCATTTTGTATGCAACTTCTTATTGATAATTTGGACGCCGTGTCATTATTGATTGATTTAAATGTTAGAAATTCAAATATTAATGTAATGAGCTTAAAATGATTAGTTTTGACACAATTACACAGCATTTTGTAAATGATTTAAATTTAAGTATAATATATATATATATATATATATATATATATATATATATATATATATTAAGTCAATTTAAGTTAGTATGAATTTATCGTATTTTTTCTTTATACAGTAATTAATTCATATGTTTTTATGCCGCTCTGTACTAATAATTTGAACACTGTGTCAATACACAGTTCACATGTTAGTATTACAACAGTAAACTGGTTAGTTTCACAGTTATGAAACAGTTTGCTCATGGTTTGAGTTGTGGAATATTGTATTTTTAAACCATTTAAGTTCAAGTATTTTTAAGTTGTTCGGTTTAAATAGTAGTAAATCGTAAATTACTGGGAGTCACTTCTAGGAATTACTTTTCAAGTATTCCTTTTTTTAGATTATTAATGGTTGCAATGCTTCTTGAACAAATTATTTAATTGCTTTATCCATGTTGATGGATATAAATCCATACAATTCTAATAATATGATATAATATAAAATAATATAATATAGTATTTATGAATAATTGAATGAATGAATGATAATATTAATAATCATAATGATAATAGTTGTTGTAGTTAATATTATTTTTCATCAATAATACAGTACATTCTAATATAATATATACAATAATTGCAATAATAATAATAATAATAATAATAATAATAATAATAATAATAATAATAATGTTGATAAAAATAAATGTTATTATAATTTTGTATCAATAATTATTAAATAATAATATAATATAACATATACAGTTATTGAATAAGTAATAATTATTATTATATATTTAATCTATAATATAATATAATATAATATACTATAATATAATATAATTTAATATAATATAATATAATATAATATAATATAATATAATATAATATAATATAATATAATATAATATAATATAATATAATATAATATAATATAACATGTCAGTGCACTGATAAGTTTTCCACAGTTGCACAGCCGTGTATACACACTTTTGTTTTCTTTTCTTCTTCATTAATAAATATCTGTACTGATGGATTTACTGTAAATGCATGCAATTAAAAAAAAAAAACTTTTTCCTAGCGATATTCACAATTTACATTCTAGTATATTTAAGTTTATGTTTATAGCAGATTACTATGAGCTTATTACTTAGTATTCCTATTTAAAAATAAATACTAAATTTTTTTGCTGAAGATTTAAAGTTGTCATGTTCTTGCAGCTACACAACAAGTGCGCTTCACACGTCAAACCTGAATGTGACTGCGGGTCGCTGAGAGATCACATCCTTCCTCCAAACACAATATGCCCTGTTGTTCTGGTAATATCCCGTTTGCTTTTGTTATATACAGTTTAAGTCCGTATTATTCACACGATCCTGTTCAATTTCAGTTATTTTATATTTTCCCCCCAATTTCTGTTTAACGGAGAGAAGATTTTTTTCAGCACATTTCTAATCATAATAGTTTTAATAACTCATTTCTAATAACAGATTTATTTTATCTTTGCCATGATTACAGTAAATAATATTTTTCTAGATATTTTTTCGCGATATTGTACTAGTATTCTTATTAAAGATTTAATTTGTTTAATTAGGCAATTAGGGTAATTAGGCATGTCGTTGTATAACAGTGGTTTGTTCTGTAGACTATCAAAAAAAAAAAGTTCTTAAGGATGCAAATAGTATTGACCATAACATGTTTTTAAAATATTAAAAACTGCTTTTATTGTAGCCGTAATAAAACAAATAAGACTTTCTCCAGAAGATAAAAAATTATTAAACATACTGTGAAAATTTCCTTGTTCTGTTAAACAGCTTTCTTAACTTAACATTTTTTATATTCTAACAATAATAATGCATGCATTTGTTTAGGAGAGACAGTCTACTTTGAGGAAAGACTCCAACCAATCAGGAGGACGAACGAAAATACAGAGGACCAATTCAGTGTCAGTGGATGGACAGGGGCTACAGGTGAATGATGACACGTACAGTACAGTAAGGTGTCAATAAACACAGGTGCAATTCCTGTAGACTCAAATAAAACTGTTCTTCCCTGGAGTAACATTAGTAAGATTGACAGATGCTGTCAGAAACCTGAAACCAGAAACAAATGACTGGCTGACTTTTAGAACATTTTGCTTTAAAATCTTTTTTTTCTCATTTATTTTTAACTGTCATGCATTCTTCTTTTGTGATAGCATGTTCACTAAGGATCATATGGAATATGGGAACTTTTAAAAATGAAAATAGACATTTACATAGAACTAACAATGTTGAAAAGACATTTTAACTTCACTGATTTGTAAAAGTTGCTTGTAAATAAATGTTAATTTATTCAATGTACATAATCATTCAATGCCTTACCCAGTAATATGTAATAGCAGTATGTACACTGCATCAGTGTCTTTGCTTAAGAAATTAGATGGAATAAAATATAAGTCCAAAAACAGGAATATGGAGCCTACAGCACATAATCATTCTCAGTCACAGTGCTGCAAGTAAAAATGCAGAGGAAGTTTAGATGTAAAAGATAAACATCTAAATATGCTTTACTGGTGTTCATTAAGGGGTAAACAGGCTCTTCCAGTTAATTCAATTCAATTAACCTTTATTTGTATAGTGCTTTTACAATGTAGATTGTGTCAAACCCGTCACAGAAGATTATAGTAAATTGAAACCATGTCAGTTCAGTTTTCAGTGTTGAAGTACAATTTAGTTCAGTCCAATGTGGTTTAATATTCACTGCTTAGAGTTCAAACACTGAAGAGCAAATCTATCGATGCGCAGCTCCACAAGTCCTGAACCATGCAAGCCGGTGGCAACAGTGGCGAGGATAAAACTTCACCAATTGACGAAAGAGAAGAATTAAAAAAAACCTTGGGAGAAAACACAGGTTCAGATAGGCACGACCATTTCTCCTATGGCCAAACATCTTGTGTAGAGCTGCAGTTTAGGCGCCCGAGGCTGAAGAATGCTGTAGGTCCATTGTGGAGAAGCTGCAGGTGGGAGAGGTCACCGGTTGGTGTACAGGCTGTCCCTTGAGGATCAATGCGAGGACTCGTCTGTCACTGGGGTCTTACAGGGATCCGTCTCATGCTCTCGTCTCCTCCATAACCACCACAGCAGCTGCTCAGGATACGGCCTGGTCCAGGAATATGGAAACCTCGAGAATAATTTTAAAAAAGACTAAGCGCAGATGCCATTCAAATTGTAATGTCTTTAGAGAAGTGCTCCCAGCCCTAAATAATGCAGACTAACAGTCCTTTAGAGGATTTGGATTTGAACAGCATTTGTGTTTTATGTGTATGCTTATGCAAAGAGATGTGTCTTTAATCTAGTTTTAAACTGACAGAGTGTGTCTGCTTCCCGAAGACTGTTCCAGAGTTCAGGTGCCAGATATGAGAAAGATCTACCGGCTACAGTTGATTTTAATATTCTGGGAATAATTAATTGTCCAGAATTAATTGTGCATAGTGGACATGAGGGGCTATAATACACCAGGAGCTTCGTCAAATAATGGGGAGCTAAGCTGTTCAGGAATTTGTAGGTAGTCAATAATTTTTTTTTAAATTTATACAATATTTAATAGGGAGCCAATGCAATGATGAAAGAACTGGCGTATTATGATCATACTTCCTTGTTCTAGAAATTAGTCTATCAGCTGCATTTTGAACTAGCCGAAGTTTGTTAATTAGGCCAGCAGGGCAACCCCCTCGTAACGTATTACAATAATCTAATCGAGAGGTCATAAAAGCATGAATTAGCATTTCCGCATCAGACATTAAAAGCACGTTAAAGTTTGGCAATGTTTCTCAAATGAAAAAATCCAGTTTTACATATGCTTAAAATCGGGCCTTCAAATGACAGGTTGCTATCAAAAATCACTCTCAAATTTTTAATTGAGGATAAGGACTGAACTAAGAATCCATTAAGGGTAAGACAGTGTTCTAGGTTTTTGGGTCCAATAAGCAAGACCTCAGTTTTATCTGAAATTAGTAATAAGTTAATATAACTTATTGTTAAAGAAGAATTAAAACCATCTTGGGAAAATGAGTAAAATGCACAAATAATAGTAGTTTTGAATGGATTAGACGCCAAGAAAATAAGACAAACAACATAAAAATAAGTCAAACAGTGACAATACCTACAATACTTCATTGGCTATTTTAAATGCCGGTTGATCTGCAGGTGCACTGTAGTCTCTGAAGAGTTTTTGGTTTTCAGAATCATATTTTGTAATTGAGTATTGAAAATTTCAATTGGAAAAAAATCTAATTTTATGAAAAACAAAAATAACAATAATATGAATTTAAATAACCTCTTCATAAATCACCCTTTTAAAACAAGACTATGGTATGTCAATTTCACTGGCCACACAATGGATGGAAACACAGTGAAGAGATATAGTACTATACTCCAACGTATTATCTGTATTACATAGTTTTTACAGTGTTTAAAGAAGACATCTTCAAAACAGGACTTTCTGTATGAAATTTATACAAAAGTTAAACTAAAATGAAAGCAAATCAAAGGTTTATGAATACCTCCTCATGTACAGGATAGTGGTGATAACTAATATGATAACCATGCATTGATTACAGTATATAATTGATATGCCTTTGATATAACAAAGCATACTACTTAAATCAAAACACATACATATATTCAACAATTTCATTGTAATGTTAAGCTTTCTGGTAAACCTTTCTGGTTGTTATTTCTTGATAAACTGGTTGTGGTCATTGTGAGCTGGGACAGGAGAAGGGAAAAACCCTAAATTGAGTATTTAAGTTTAATTAATTAATTAATTTATACTTTTTTTATTGTTCCCGCCAACCCTAGACTGGTCGAAACGTAACAATCAGCTATTTTAAATGTAGTTAAAAATATATGCAAGTCAAAGAGTTTGCATCCATAAGCTCATAACTAGTTTAATTCAACAGTAAGGCCTGATGACCCACTCTGACCGGCCGTCGTCTGAGCATAGTAATGACAGAAAAAAAAAAAGACAAATCATGTCCTGGGTCATCCATCTTGGCTGGCGGCGGCTAACCAGTGTAATAATCAGGATTATTATTTATAATTAGAGGAAGTAATGGATCACTCGACGGAGGACGGGTGGCTCATTAATTCACCTGGGCCTGCTGGGATTGTTTCGACGGGTCCTGTTTTAAGCGCTTCATCTGTGTCACCATGCACCGGAAGACTGTTCACACACTCTCTGGATTAGTTTGTGCGTGCGGCGTCCGCTCCGAAAGCCCACAATCACCCTGAAAACTGACTCATGGTAAAAGACTGTCATTAATGACTAAATATGGAGCCGTTTACTGAAGTAGATGCGCCTCATGACGTGGGTTTTTGTAGATAGTAGTATGACACGAGACTTTTTGTAATTAAAAGGTATAGACCATTTAAATGTGGTCATGTCATTGGCCCATGAACAATTCCTGCTTGTTATCAAACTATTTCATAACTGTAACAAGAAGCAATTTAATCATAACTTTGTTAAAACAGCTGTCATATAATTATTTATCGATATGTGACTGTTTTTAGATTCTCGCAATCGAGAGAAATTAAGAATATACACCAGGAAATATGTTGGGATCATTGTTTTTGTTTACATCTCTAAAAATGGTCTATACCATAGGTCTTGAACTCAATTCCTGGAGGGCCATAGCTCTGCACAATTTTGCTCCAACCCTAATCAAACACACAGCTTATCCAACTAATAAAGGTGTTCATGACTATTTTGAACACCTCGATAATTTGGATCAGCTTTGTTTGATAGGGTTGGAGCAAAATTGTGCAGAGCTGTGGCCCTTCATGAATTGAGTTTGAGATACTGAGCTGAACCGTGTTGGATCTGCAATTTGGAGTCTGGATTATATCTGTGTAGTGACTACAAAGTTTAACCATAAACTTACTAAACAATTTGTCATTTGCATGTGGCTGTGAGCATTTTAAGCCATGTTTAAAGCATCAAGATGCAAGAAATAATTATTTTTGTAACTCTAAATTGTATTTATGTATTAGGGCTGCACCATACCTGATAAATATATGCTATGCAATGTTGCTGAGAGAATGTTTCTTACAACATAACATTTCTCTAGACAAAGCTATTTTTATTAGCTATGTTTTAAATAATTTATTTATTTGATTATATTAAAATAATCAGGTAAAATAACATTTTCAGATCTAATTAACTGTAGTTCTGACTAAAACACTGTGTCAAGGTGCAAACATTTGGATGATAACCTCAGCAGATACTCTGACTGTTGTCATTTTCCTCTCTCTTGACTCCCGTCATTAGTGTTTATTTATTAGCAGCTGTCAGACTCCCAGACAAACAAAAAATACTGTTTATTTAAGTTGTAGACACCCCTTTGCTTTACTGTATCAATACTTTTGTTTATGATATTTTATGCAGATGTGCATCCCTACAAAATCTTCACAATCAACTTATTATTTTTTTCAAAACAGAGCTATTTATTTAATCTGGTAAAATTATTCCTAATATTGCAACTCATTTAAAGAGGGTATATCATGAAAATGTGACTTTTTCTGTGGGAAAATGTGAAAAAGGACAACCAAGTAACCTTGTTTTGGTAAGTTTTACTCTACAAGCATGTTGAAAACTTTCAGATTTCGCACCTTTAGTGTTGTATAACGGAGGTCTTTTTATGCCGTTTATTATCATTGCTTCACATAATAGTTGGGATAGTTCACCCAGAAATGAAAATATTCTCACCAATTACTCACTTTGAAGTTGTGTTCTGTTCTGTTGAAGATAAATACGTTATTCTGAACAATGTTGGGAAAAAAATACAATGGAAGTCCATGGCTTTTTTTTCTCCCTAACATTTTTTTTTCAGTTTATTTTCCTTTGTGTTCAACAGAGGAAACTCACATGTTTGGAACAAGTGAAGAATGAATAAATGATTATTAATAATTATTATTATTATTATCATCATCATCATCATCATCATCATCCTCATCATTATCATTATCATTATTATTATTATTATTATTATTATTATTATTATTATTATTATTATTATTATTATTATTATTATTATGATAACCTTTATTTTACTAGGAAAACCTCATTGAGATTAAAAAATCTTTTACAAGAGCGTCCTGGCCAAGATTAGGCAGTATACAGTTCACATGGGTTTAACAAACAAACCAACATAAAAAGATAAAATAAAATGACAGAAAACATAATTTATCCATGCAATGACAGTTAAAAACTATTCAGAACATTTACAGGCTAATGTTTTAAACTCTGAATCATTTAAAATCTTTTTTTAAAGCATGTAGTGAAACCAACTCTTTAAACTGCACACTTGTTTGAAGGTTATTCCATACCAAAGGTGCTGCATATTTAAAAGCCTTTTTTCCCCCAAGTTTTTTTTTTTCAACTTATCAATTTAAATGACTTAAAACATCAAGTTAAAATTTGCATAACTTAAAAAATCAAGTTGAAACCTGATCAACTGATTAAAATAAGATAAAAGCATTTGTAAATATCTTTTTTTAGTTTACACTTATCATACGGCTGTAGCAGTCGTCATCTCTGTTTAATTATTGTAACAGCTTGAGATTCACAATGTATGTGCCCTAAAAGCACATTTAATTTTCACAAAATGTCCCCCCAAAAGAGGTGCTTTTAGATATTTTTTTCTCTAAACTTTGATTCCTATTTATTTTATTTTATTTTTAAAATCTTTTTATTTATTTATTTATTTATTTATTTTATATTTTATTTTTTGTATTTTTAGCTAGAACTTCACAGGCACTTTCTGGGGACACCAGAAATTAATTTGACATCTTATGAAAATGGGCATAATAAGTTCCTATTGAAAGCTGTACATGTTTCAATGTAATACTATTTTTTATTTTAATCTATAGATTACACCATTAGAAGGAACTCATCCTCTGTTGGTTTTCGTCAACCCTAAAAGTGGAGGCAAACAAGGTGAAAGGTGAGATCTGTGTTTGTGTTTTTTTTTTCTTATCCCAAAAAATTATTATTTTTCTTATAATGTTAAGGTTATCAGGGGATGAACAGATACTTTTAGAAATGTATCCAACATTTACTGTAAAAAAAAAAAAGAATACTAACAACTAGCAAATGTGGTTGCTATAAATTCACCATTTGGATGGAACGTTTATGGTATTATTGGAGCCGATGTATTTATATTTGTATTATAACTTTAAACCATCTTTTTTAAGAGAAAAAAAAAAAAGAAAATTTGACATTTACAACGTGGATCTATCAAATCAGTTAAAATGTCTAAATCTACAGTTTTACATTTTAATTAGATTTATTTAGATATTTTGATTGCTCTAGATTTGTTTATTTTTAGTTAGTTTTTTTTTAATGATTTTGTAAGTTTTAGTCTAGCTTTTATTTTGTAAAAACACATTTCAATTTAATTCATATATTTTTAGTTTTCAGTATTAGCAATTCTATTTTTTCTATTTTAACAAAGTTAACAGAACATGTCTAGTGTAACAAAAGCAAGATTTAGTGTTTGCGTATAGCTTACACCTTTTAGTATAAAAAATATGTAATGTTCCGATTTTTTTTGCCCTCGAGTCCAAGTCCGAGTCATTTAATTTTTAGTATCTACCGATACCGAAACCTGATCTGATACTTCTATAATATATAAAAAGAGTAAAGAAGAGCGAAGAAACAGATCCAGGATGTTCATTATTTTTTATTTAATTCACTTTATTTTAACATTCAACAACTCTGTTAACAAACAGAGCGCTTCTGAGGTAGCTTGAACAGTCAAGTAATACATTCTTCACTTTTGGGGAAAAAAAATTAATATAACAACAAATAGCTCCTCAACCTAGAATATCCTTCAGGCAATTCCATGCGTTGCTGTTTCTGTGTGAAGTTAAGAAAGAGGTCTAACTCTGTGCCACTGCATAGATGTGTTACAAAATAATGACAATAGTTGAAGTCAGAATTGTTAGCCCCCTTTTTAATTTTTTTTTCTATTTTAAATATTTCCTAAATGATGTTTAACAGAGCAAGGAAATTTTTACAGTGTGTCTAATAATAGTTTTTTTTTCTGTAGAAAGACTTTTTTGTTTCATTTCAACTAGAATATTTATTTATTTTTTTACATTTTAAAACCATTTTAAGGTCAAAATCATTAGCCCCTTTAAGCTATATTTTTTTTCAATAGTCTACAGAACAAACCATCGTTTTACAATAACTTGCCTAATTACCCTAACCTGCCTAGTTAACCTAATTAACCTAGTTAAGCCATTAAATGTCACTTTAAGCTGTATAGAAGTGTCTTGAAAAATATCTAGTCAAATATTATGTACTGTCATCACAGCAATGATAAAATAAATCAATTATTAAAAATAAGTTATTGAAACTATTATGTTTAGAAATGTCTTGAAAAAATATCTTCTCTGTATATATATATATATTCGTGTCCTGATCGGTAGGTAACATCTGATTCCGATCAAGTCTGAAACGTGATCAGATCTAGACATCCCTTAAAACACTGAATCCCAAACCACACAAATGCAAGTTAAATGAATAAAAGTCAAAATTATGATGAATTAAGACACACTTCTTAATAATAAAGAAGAAAGTTGCTCTTCATTTGCATAAAATTTGAGGATTCTCAACTTTGTCGCATCGCTTAACACATCCACCTGGTCCCCAACAGAGGCTGACGCTCGCATAGATGGTGCTCGCTCTCTGTCAAAATGAACAGTCACTTTGCCGATGCGTGTCGCTCATTGTGTGAATGAGGTTTTAGTCTGTAAAAGCGCCATCTACAGGTACTTCTATAAACTAAATATTTTGCCACATAATGAGAATTGACAATTATTATTTTTTGCTAATTGTTATTTTGAGTTCACTTTTCTGTGATTGTCATTGTTTTATTGTGATTTTTAACATTTTGTTTGAGCTAATGAAAATGTTTTTTTGACCAATAGCTTAAGGCTTATTCATTTATGGGTTTTTTTTATGTAAACAACCTTGTTTTGAACTCCGTCTAGGATCTTCCGCAAGTTCCAGTACCTCCTAAACCCTCGTCAAGTCTACAACCTGGCTAAAAGCGGCCCAATGCCTGGGTGAGTGGCCCTTCACCACACACACACTTCAAACACAGCATTATCTGTGTACAGTATGCTTTCAGCAAAACATAGCTGTCCCCCATTCCCAGATAAGAATCCAAAGAATCCCGACAGCTCCCCAAGTTAATAACATATTGTATATGCAGACGCTGCTTGATAATAATACACACTAATTCATGCATGCCGATCTCTCAGTGAGTCTCAGCTGTAAATGTAAGCATTATTAAAGGGTTAGATCTGCTCTCACAGAGTCTCCAGTGCTGACAGTCAGCTGGTAATAGTAGATTGGTGTCAGTGTTAGCTGTGCTCACGCATACCATCGCTGGTGTCAGTCAAAATTCTCTCTCCCATTCAAACTGGATTTGTTATTAGTATGCCTGCTGCGTGGTCACTTCTGAGTTAAGTGCACAGCCGTAAGGGTTGTGACAGTGTTTAGTGATGCTGTATTTTCAAAATGGAATTTTAAAGAGGGAATAATAAAGAATGCAGAATGTTTTTGTGGGATGTTGGCTTGGAGATTAATTGGGGCTGTGATTCTGTTTCATTTTGATTCAGATTTTTTTATTTTGTAAATTTGGACTGATTGGTCTGATTCACAATGATGTTTTATTTAAATTAATTAGTGATTTTATTTAGTGTTTTTCAATGTATTCATTTTATTCTTTAACTAGTCTTAGGAACTAACAAAAGGAACTAAAAAATTAAACTAAACTAAATTATTAAACTAATTATATAAATTTGCAGATTTTCATGTGTTCACCATTTTAATTTAACTTTCAACTTAATTCTTTTGTTTCCACTGAAAAATGTAAGGTTAGTAAATAAATAAATAAATAAATATGTTTGTGTGTGTATATATATATATATATGTATTTATTTATTTATTTATTATTTTTTAAGTATACTTAAAGTATTTTTAAGTATATTATGTTGTATAGAATTTATTGCAATATAATTTTTTTTTTGCTAACATGTTATTAAAATGGATGCATTTATTTCACAAAGATGTATTCAACTGATCATAATGACAGCAGAGATGATAACACTTTATTTTGATGGTCCATTTGAGTATCACTAGACTGTCTGCTTAATATCTGCTGAAACTGCTCCTTCAACTGACATTTAACTGACTATAAGAAACTACAGGTCAACTTACACTAACCTTTTCACCATCCTATCAGTCTACTTATAATTTAATGAGAATCATTTGACATGTAGATAAGCAGCTCCACGTTCATATATCGCCTCTGGGCATCTTCTTCAATGTGCGCTCGCAGTGGCGCCTGCAGGCGTACGGGTGTACGCACTGTGCGTACCTACCTGCCATGAGAAGGCGCAAATTAATGTCACTTATTTATTTATTTATTTGTTTTTTTACATAATTCATATTGATGATTCAGTTGCAACCCTGACCAAACACATCTGTTTGTAATTATTAAGTGCTGCTTTAGGTACTATTAATTGGTTCAGGTGTGTTTGATCAGGGTTGGGACTGAATTCTGCAGGAAGGTAGCTCTCCAGGAACAGGGTTGGTGACCCCTGCGCTATACCATTCAAAGTGTTTTTAACAATTTTATCTCACAGACTGGCACAAATAAGCAGACATCTCCATTCTCGCGAGTTTCTGAGTTTTTTCACTCTTCCAAAAGAGTTTGAGACCGGTTTTTAAGCACTTCCCCTCAGATGTTATTCGTTATTCATGTTTGTCTAGTAGATAAATAAATTATATTATGTACAGTATTACAAAATAAATTATTATGTAACAATAATGTGCTTTCATTTTCTCGGTCTCACTCGCGGCAATACCCTTAAATAATGTAACATTTGACAGCAAGCATCAGTGCTTTTTGGATTGAAATAAAAATAAGGGATGATGGGGTAGGGTGGTGCTGGATATGTGCGTACCTTTGAAAAAAATCCTACAGGCGCTCTTGTGCGCTCACATTGACAGTTTTGCTCTTAAGTGCCTCCAAGTGCTGTTTACTGTAACTTCAGCAGCTCCGTGCACGTGAACAAAAGTGCCAATCTGACGATTTTACGCCTGCCGTTTTGCTCGTTGGTGTGCACGATCACATTGGCGCCCTTTATTTAGTCATGAGGCGTTAAACGTCAACAAAAATCGCGGGCAAAAAGCGCACTGGTGTGCACGGGCCTTCAAAATCTTATGCATGCATAGTCCCAATCCCCCCTTTGGGAACCATTGGTTTACACACAGCATTGTTGGTTTACAAAAAAATCTAACAAACATAATCCTGTTGCATTACTAAACTTGATTTTGTTTTTTTTTTTGTAAAAATATGAAACATTTTATGGCATTCTTCAAAAACTAAAGATGAGTGATAAATAAAATGTTTTATTTTGAATACGTTTTTGAATAAATTGGTCTTACACTTCATATTTTCTCATTTTCATAGTTTATGTATTAATTCCCGTACTTTTGCCATAAACTGACATACCAACCTTTGATATTTTAAAAATTATAGGTTGTGTTAAAAAAAAAGCATTAAATGTGATAACTTGAGACTTTAGGAGTTACAGTAAGACATGCAATCCAAAAATGTTTTTTTCTTGGCGGGGGACAATTAAAGAGTCAAAATAAAAAATAAAATAAAAAACAGCAAGGAGAAACAATATATTTAATATAATCAATATAGATACTATTTCAGACCCAATTATACTATAATTTTATTTTTAAATGATGATTTTGATCATTTTTTATAGAAGAAATTTGACTTTTACATTTTATGACTTTCCAAAACTTTCCCAAAACTGTTGAAAATATATATTTTTAAATGCTTAATATGAAACAAAATCAGTGAAATGTTTTTAGATTTAAAATTAGTGGTTTAAAACAAAGGATTAAAAAAAATCTAAATTTAAACATTTAAAAAATCATAATTCCTAATTCAGCATCAGTGAGTATCGGCTGGTTCAGTTTTTACTCCACACTCCTGTCCTGTTAGGCCTCTGATTATATTCTTTCCATTTTCTTTTTTTTTTTTTTTTTGTACGATTTTCTTTTTTTAAAGCACAGATTGAGCTCTGCTCTCCTCACAGCATTGGTGACCTTGTCAGCCGGTTTGCTTTGAGACTATTGATTACAGCGTTTCAAGCACTAGCATCTAGGCCAAGTGTAGCCAATGTATTGATGTTTCTCCGCTGGTGGAGCAGATAGATATAGAGTTTGATTTGACTATGCATTTACAGTCACAGTCATCTGGTAAAGTTGAACACATGAGCTCGGCTAGTCATGTGATGCTAATATAAAGATGTCTGTCAGCTGTCGAAATGTAGGCTTTTGTTATTCTTATTCAGACATCCTCATGTGATTGGCTATCTGGTTTTGCCATTTAATGGGATTTGCTAAGTCTGCTTGTAATAATAAATAATTTGTATGTTAGAGTTAGTGATAACACTTTACAAAAAGAGGTGTTCATAAGACTGCCATAAAACCTTTATAGTCATGACATCAAATTTAATGGCTTAATTTGTGACACCCCTTCGCCATACAATGCCCCGGCAAAATCAAACAATCAATCGACCAAATCAATATATTAATAAAGGGGAAAAAACTAAAAACAAAGCAAGTAAGCTTTAACTTCAACACATTCAACACAACTCACGAACCAAACAAACGTATATTTCCAGTCCGAGGCATAATTCCTCTTAATACTCTTTACAATACAATCAAAGGTGATAAAATATAAAATATTTAATAAAGTATTAAATATTAACAGGTGATAATATATAAAATATGCATAGATCTACATTTTAAGTCTACCTCTCTCTTTTGCATTTTATTTTATTTTATTTGCATTTGTTTGCTTTGCTTTGGCTTTTTCTGGGTTATTTTTTGTGAAATCGGGAGAAATACTGAGAGATCACATGCCAATTAGTTCTATAACCTTGACATGTGAGCAAAATCATCTGTTTTGTCATCACATAGACATTACAATTCTCCACCTTATGCAGGAGAATCCTAGAGATACTAGTTCTAGTGACGTGTGTGAAGTAGCAATGGTTTCTGCTGTTCTGATGGTCAGCTGCAGATGTGAATAAATGGTGGAAGAAAGTAGTTCCTCATACAAAAGGGTTGTTGCGACTCTTCATGTTTGATTTTCATTCATATATACACACAAATATGCAGTCAAACTGTTGTATAAACGCAATATCACACTCGTAGCAGTGCGATATGGCTGTATATTATCACCGGTGGGGGGACAGTGAGGCACCCGGCAAGTTGCCTTTTTTGTCTTTGTGGTTGTAGGACTTACATTGTTTGTTTGTTTTGGCCTCTTGTCTGAGTTTTTTTTTTTTATTAGAGCAATTAAAAGCTGGAGTCTGTACTGCTGTCATAGTAAATTAAATCCAGGAAGTTTTTCATTATAGATTTAATAAAAGCATCGAGCTAAAGTAAACTTCAAAACATAAAGACATCTAGAGGAAATACTGCAAAACAAATGCAGCTTATGTTGTTGTTTCAGAGGTTCTTTCATACAGAAATGATTTTGTAATATTTGCTGAAATAGTCAAATACTTATTTTATTTTTTTCCACAGAACTAAAGCTATTACATTCGTACCTGTGTTTTCAGGGCAAATAGGATGATTATCTTTTTTCAAGAAATGGCATATTACTTATATCATCTGAAGAATAGTCTCTGCGGGTGATGTTTTTTTAGATGACTGCATCCTCATTTAATCTTTTATTTGTGTCAAAAATTGCCTCCATTTTTATCAATCAAAACAAAGGCAGAGTAATAGACTGGATGCTTTCATAGGAGTGTATTAGAAAAAAAAAACATTGTAGACTTTTATTTTATTATATAAACACACTAGTATATACATATATGTATATACTGTATACACACACTGCCAACCACACACATACACATGCACATATGCACACTGTATACATACACATACAGCGGGGAAAATAGGTATTGAACATGTCACTACTTTTCTTAGAAAACATGTTTCTAAGGTGCCATTGAATTAAAATTTTCACCAGATGTTAATGACAACCAAATAAATCCATATATGCACAGAAAACTAATCTAATTAGTTCACAGATTAAGTTATGCTTTGTAAAATGAAATGATGCATGGAAAAAAGTATTGAACACATGAAGAAAGGGAGGTGTATAAAGGCAGTGAATGATCAGACAGCTGCTAAAATTTCTCAGTATTATTAGGCAACCTTCTGCCCTTTGTCGTCGTCAACTTTAATCCAATAGAAAATACAAACTAAAGATCAGATTTGATAGACAAGACCCACAGAATCATCAAGATTTTTACACTCTGAATGAGAGGCGTCTTTAAGCTGCCACCACCAAATAAAAGTATTTTATTTGAAGTATTAAACGTATTTCAGTAGTTCTGTACTTTATCCTTGTGTCATTTCATTGTTATTACACGTAACTCATTTTTTCAGATTTTGTGTTTAGTTTTATTTTTATGTTTGTATTGTTTGAGTTTTTACCAAAATCTGGTTCAATTCCATGTCAACAGCTTCCTTACAAATTTTATTCCGAGGAAAAACAAACATGACAGGTTCAATACTTATTTCCCTGCTGTACGCACACATACACATATACATACATACACGTATATACAGACACATATGCATAAACAAATATGAAGTGAATCAAAACCTTTAATCAAAGTTGTTCTAAAACCAAAACATCAGACATTCTTTCCAAAGGAATAATTTTTTTTTGTAAATATGTGGTACAGTTGTATTTCCATAAATCCCTCCTTTTATTTATAATACATATATTATTTTCCTGATCAAAGATGCATGTCAAAAATGTTCTGTGACATTACAAAACAGTTATAGAAGCTGTAGAACTGTGGAATATTATAAGACACTCTGCTGTCCTCTAGCATTTTCCCTCTCATTCAATGAAGTGCTTTTCTATTTCTTAGACAAAGCCAACTTTGAACAGAATCCTCCCGTGTGTGTACTTCCTCTCGGCACAGGAAATGACCTCGCAAGGTGTCTGCACTGGGGTGGAGGTAATTTAAGCCATTTTACGACTTTAATGTGATGTTTAGAGATTTTCACTCCAAATTAATCAGTCTACCAATGTAATATTATTTAATTTCACAAGATTTGCTGCTACATATTAACTCTGTTTCTGCCATTGATGAAACATCTCGTCAATTGAGAGAATGATTCACACCATTGCTGACTTTTTATGACAGTGCATGTTTTAGGTTTATTTTGATATGAGTAGCCCTAATTTGAATGATTTACGGGACTTCTGGGTCTTCCGTGTGTGAAATACAGATAATCCGAGAAGAGTTAAAATGAAGAGGGGGTTAATGAACTCATGCAGTTTTGCAGTTTTATCTGTTTATCTTAACTTAAATGCATTTAAATGGGGATAAAACATGAACACATGAAAACAGGATAAAATGCTTTTTTGTTTAAAAGTAGAGCCTATGCTGCTTATGGTGATATATTGTTTGCTTAATCATATTTAACAAAACATATTCTGAAGGCCATCAAATTTAGATGAAAATCATAAAAAAAGCTGCCTGCGTCTGGCGACTGAAAAAAAAAATCCCGCCTTCCAGTCAAAACAGCCAATGGTCATCTTTATAGCCATGCGGTCCGCTGGGGGAGGGGTTTGTATAGATTTGCTTTGTTTATTATGGCAAGTCCTGTCTTTTGGCGTCTACTTTGTACCTGTGTTGATTTTGACTGGATTTTGACATATCGTGTATTTTCATTGTCATACTCCAGACCTTGCTCCAGGTTTTGTCCCTGTTCTTCCAATATTTATAACCATGTCAATTCAGTTGATTTTTATTTCTATAGCACTCTTACAATTTAGATTGTGTCAAAGCTGCTTAACGTAGAAGTTGTGGTACATTGAAACGGTGTCAGTCTAGATTTCACAGTTGAAGTTCAGTTCAGTTTGGTCTAATTTTGACTGCTGAAAGTCCAAACACTGAAGAGCAAATCCAATGATGCGCAGCTCCACAAATACCAAAACCAAGCAAGTCAGTGGCGAGGAACAAAACTTCGCCAAAGAAAAGAAAGAAACCAGGCTCAGTTGGGCGCAACCAATTTTCCTCTAGCCAGACTTCCTGTGCAGAGCTGCAGTCTTGGCGCTAGTGGCTGGAGATTGGTGGACATCCATCGTATAGAAGCTGCAGGTGTGAGTAGGTCACCGACAGGTGATCATACTGGCCCATGTGATCAATGTGGATACTCATCTGCCACTATAGAGTCTTTCAGGAATCAGTCATATGCTCTCCACGATCACCACAGCATATACTCAGGATACGGCCTGGTCTAGGAATATGGAAACCTTGGGAAAATGAAAAACACTCTAACATAAGCATAGATGGCAATCAAATTAATGTCCTTTTGTCACCATTGAAAAAGCCATAAAGGAGTCTGGTTTGGTGTCAATCTTGCGCAGTAGCTGAAGCAAAATGAAAATGTAATTTTAAATGAAAATAGAGCTTGAGCAACAGCAATAATGGGGCATGTCACTTCAGATTGGTCCTACGATTTGAAATATGTTGTGTGATTATGACTAGCTAGCTTCAATGTAGTTTGGATATGTAGTAATGTAGTCTGTATAACAAAAGTATGCAGTATTTAAATGGATAGTTCATTCAAAACTGAAATTTCTGTCATCATTTACTACCCATATTTAAAACCTGTTTACATGACTTTCTTCTGTTGAACACAAAAGAAGATACTTTGACAAAAGCTGGATATTTTGTAACCATTGACTTCCATAACATTTGTTTTTCCTATATGGAAGTAAGTGGCTGCAGGCTTTCAACTTTCCTCAAAATATTTTCTGTGTTGATATTTCCTCAGAACTTCGTCTTTAGTGAACAGAATAAACATTTGGAATCACTCTAGAGTCATTCAAAGGTGAACTATACCTTTACAGATGTAAAATGTAGGTGTGAATGGCTCTTTATGACTTTTTACCATTGTCTGTTGTCTATTCGTCTTCTCTTCTTGTCTGGAGCTTAATGGAGCACTGATACACATCAAAAAGTCATCTGACCTTTGTGTTTCAGGCTATGATGGAGAAAGTCTCCTGCAGATTCTGAAGGACGTCCAGGACAGCAGTGAGGTGATGCTGGACCGGTGGAAGATCAACATCACTCCTGTAGACCGAGATGAAGGTGGAGATCCCGTCCCGTACAGCATAATCAACAATTACTTCTCTATCGGTGTGGTGAGTCTCAAATACATTAACACTGTAGAGACAAAACAGTATTATTGCAATTTGAAATATATTGCAATATTCTTTAATATGTTGCAATTTATTTCCTTTTTTACAACTTCAAATGGACCCTTTTCACATTTTCGGGTTTTTCAGCAGGAGAAGTTGATGGACAAACTCAGAGAGTGGTGCACTTTTTCCCCCATAGACCTTCATTCATACTACATTTAAAAGTTAAAGCTTAAATAAATGAACTGTGAATTCGCATCACATGACAGTGTGAGTCTAATATAAGGTACTCATATACATATAAACACATCTATCCAGTGTTTAAGACTTGTCCATTAACCCTAATACACTGTATGATGACAGTGAGTTGAGTTTATAAATAAAAAGTGAATAAGGTCACTAAGTAATAAGACTAAATGAGCTAATCAAGAGGGCTGAGTGCTTTTTGAAATGCCAAGAGCATCTACTACATTAACAGTGCCATCCCTCATCGCCAAATCTAGTCAATTGACAATGAAAGATGTGGTGGACGTTACAGGAGTCTTGTCTTCACGAACGCAGATCAAACACGACGTGTGTTGATGCACCTTGAGCCGTCTGAATCTAATGATGCTTATTACGCCGACCGCATGTCAGCCATTATCCACAAATGTCAAGGGAAATACGGTAATTGGCATTTGGAGGTTTGACGACTCTGTTTTATTTTCGATTTGTACGCATTTTTTTTTTAAAGAAGGGGAAATTGTATTGAGGGGGACATGCTTGGACAAATGTTAGTCAATGTCAACTTGTTATTGAGGGAATTGATGGCTTAAAGGATTGATTTATGAAATATTATGATCCATTATAGAATGACATGTGAGAGATAGATAGATAGATAGATAGATAGATAGATAGATAGATAGATAGATAGATAGATAGATAGATAGATAGATAGATAGATAGATAGATAGATAGATAGATAGATAGATAGATAGATAGATAGATAGATAGATAGATAGATAGATAGATAGATGGATAGATAGAGAGATAGAGAGATAGATGGAGAGATGGATAGATAGATGGAGAGATAGATGGAGAGATAGATAGATAGATAGATAGATAGATAGATAGATAGATAGATAGATAGATAGATAGATAGATAGATAGATAGATGGATAGATGGATAGATGGAGAGATGGATAGATGGAGAGATGGATAGATAGATAGATAGATAGATAGATAGATAGATAGATAGATAGATAGATAGATAGATAGATAGATAGATAGATAGATAGATAGATAGATAGATAGATAGATAGATAGATAGATAGATAGATAGATAGATAGATAGATAGATCTCTGTCTCATTAATCATTCAGCTGCCGTATATTCAGTATTGTGTCAATGAAATTACATTTTCAATGCGTTGACAAATGTATTTGTTTGTTTGGATTAAAGAGAAGTGCAAATCTCAGTGGGATCAAGTGATATTTTTCTTATCACATTTTATATGAAAACACAAATTCCTTTTGAAAACAACCCGAAAACCAATAGAGATTACAAAGCAAGTCGGGCTCATAATTACTTTGCAGATTATGCAAATGAAAAACAATGTCTTCCGTAATTATGCATATGAACTCTCGGAACTAAACAGCCAACAAATGCAGCTGTTGCCAGACAAGATGGTGCAAGAACACTTTAACAGATAGGGCTAATTTAAGACATTTACATCCCAGCACAGAAGAGGAGCGCAGCATCAAACCCTTTTAACATCAGCTCACAAGATGCATTGTTTTAGCATATTTGTAATTTGATGTAACTCTAATAGCTAAAACACTAAACCATATATTTCTGAAAACTAACAAAAGAGATAATGTACTTGGAAAAGTACACCAGTAATCTGTGTTTTTTACAGCTTTGAAAAAAATATATAGTATAGACTGAAAGCAAAATTGTTGTAGAAACTACTTTCAGTCAGAAATTACTTTACAATTAAAGAGAAACTTCATAAAAAGTAAAATACTAAATATGAAATTCTAAAGTAACATTGCAGTGATATTTCTTTGTAAAAATACTCAGTTATATTATTTTAGTCAGTATTTGCATTGTACTAATGTCATCTGTATCAAAATACTTCAGCAATTTAAGACTTCAGCACAAGTCAAGTTGATAAATTGAAGAAATGCAACACATTATATTTAATTTCAATTAAGTAATTTCAGAAGCTTTCACATATAATTTAAGGTAACATGCCTTTAATTGTTAAAAGATTCCTTAGATTGGGTATCTCTATATTAAAGGAGAAAAATACATTTGTACTTATTTACTTTTAAGCCTCTCTTAGGTAAACTACCATCCAATCTTTCTAATTCGCTAACATTTCACATAAATAATCAACACACTAGGTTTTGTTCCTGTATTCGCTTAACAGTCCCAAGGGTATTGTCAGAACTTGGCAAACATGCTTTTACCTTATATGCTCCTATAGGGCTTGGAAGGACCTGCAAAATCAACTTAATCTTGACACACTTCCGACTCTGAGTACTTTTAAACATCTTCTGTACAACGTCTTAAAGTATACCTGTAATAGCTTTTTATGATCTGACCTGTTTTATAAATGGTGGTTTTGTAATTTTGTGGTATAGTTTTCTGTGATTTTGTGTGCTGCCATCTTGACTAGGTCTCACTGGAAGAAGAGACAGTACTGTCTCAGTGTGATCTCCTGGCTAAATAAAGGAAATAAAATAAATGAACTAATATTTTGTTGTAAAAATACAAATACTGCCAAATTACATTTATTTACAGAGCACTGAAAAAGTTACATTTGAGGAATAATTTAAGTAACACACTAAAAATGAAACCTGAAACTTTCAAGTAAAAAATCTACAGTAATATTTTCTTGTAAAACATACTTTAATAATCTCGAACAATAAAAAATAAAACTTTTGCTAATGTTAGTTATACAGTTTTAATAAAGTAAGTTTTTATATATGCTAGTTATAGTGTTAATAATGCTCATAACCAACCCAGCAGGCACAGGACGTTAACATGTTATCAGATTGACATTTTACACCAATGTCATGGAGACGTCGCATTTTGTTTGGAATTAAAAATCGGGTTGACATCAGAACCCAACTGTCCAACGTCCAACAAAAAATCAACCAAATATTACTGTTTAATGATGTGACAGCTTGACATTATGTAAAAACACAATAATATTTAACTTAATGGTGTGTTTTTGACAGTCCACTGATAGGGTCAGTATTAATGAATACTAATTCAAAAATTGATGAAATACAGCAAAATATATTATATTTCCAGATGACCATTTTTACAAACTTTCTGAATTTCACAAATTATTAAAAGTAAAATGCTTTGAATTATTAAAAAACAGTTACTAAAAAATTAAATTCAAAATAGCAACATTTTCTAGCAAACAAACTCCAAAAGATCCAAACTTTGGATTTGTTTGTGGCATAAAAATATTTTAAATCAAAAAATCTAAAAGGAAAAAAGCAGAAATGAATGTCTGATGATCAAGTATTGATAAAAGTGTTATAAAATCATCCCTGCTCTTCACACTAACGGCAGTCTCATTGACAGATCACCCTGTCATGTGCTATTTTGGCTAATTATCTACCATTTAAATACCAAAGTTGAAATATCCCTCTCCATCAGACTGGGGGTGTTATCATTTGGGTCGAGCCAGAAGCAAAAGACAGTCCCTAATCACACAGGATGGCCTAAGATCATGTCGTCTGTTTCTAATGACCCTGCGCTCACGTCAAAGCCATTACTCTCCCACTGACACTGGCACATCAGCCGCCGTAATTGGACTAAATGGTGAACTATGAGGGAACATTACACATGGCTCTTTATTAATTTGCTCAGCAGAGTTTTCGCGCTGGTAATTATCGGACAACGGCGGATGAAAGATGGCAGCTGACTGACTGACTGACTGTTGCAACTTGGGCTAGAGAGTCAATGAAAAAAGGAGAAATGTGGATGGCGGAAGTGATGACGTCTCTCAAAAGCCTTTGCTCTTGTGTTTTTTTGAGTAATCTTAACAATAATCTTAACAAGCATCATCATTTATGATCAAATGAGTTGAAAAAACATAATTCTTAAGTTCTTTTAGGACAACTTAATTGCTTTATGTTAAATCCATTTAAATTTGTAAAAACTTTTAAGTTAACTTTATCGATTTGTGTTGGGACAACATGAAGAAACTGTGTGGAACCCTGCATTTTTTTTTACAATGTATTACTACTAATAATAATAATACTAATTATCATTATCACCCTCATCACTGTTATGGTCAAACATCTCTATCTAGCTTGTGTTTACATTGAAAAACAAAAGATAAGAAGCATGTTGGATAGGAAAGACGCATTCTGTCTGAGCGACCCCTTATCCATACACAGTGACTTAAAGACTTGTCAATCTGATGGCACTGACATGTACATTGACACAGATATTTATTTTTGACTGATGAACTAAGGGGAGACTTGGTTTTGTTGTTTTGAGAAATCCACTTACAGTTTTTCAAATTTCAAGTATAATGATAATTCATTACATTTTATAAAGTGCTTTTTCTGGACACTTAAAGCACTTTACACATTGGGGGGAATCTTCTCTTCCACCATCAGTGTGCAGCATCCACCTTGATGATGTGATGGCAGCCATATTGTGCCAGACCACACCAGCTAATTGGTGGAGAGGAGACAGAGTGATGAAGCCAATTATAATATGGGGATGGTTAGAGGCCGTAATTAACTGAGTCCAGTGGGCAAATTTGGCCAGGAAAAAGGGGTTAAACCCCTACTCTTCTTCGAAGGATATTTTTAATGACCACAGAGAGACAGGACCTTGGTTTAACGTCTCAATCTGAAAGACGGTGCTCACTGAGCAGTAAAGAGTCCCCATCAATATACTGGGGTGTTAGGACCCACAACAGACCGCAGGTTGAGTGCCCCCTGCTGGCCTCACTAACACCACTTCCAGCAGCAACCTAGCTTTCC